CCACTTGAGACACTGAGATGGACCCCACTTGAGACAGTGAGATCTGGACCCCACTTGAAACAGTGAGATCTGGACCCCACTTGAGACAGATCTGGACCCCACTTGAGACAGTGAGATCTGGATCCCACTTGAGACAGTGAGATCTGGACCCCACTTGAGACAGTGAGATCTGGACCCCACTTGAGACAGATCTGGACCCCACTTGAGACAGTGAGATCTGGATCCCACTTGAGACAGTGAGATCTGGACCCCACTTGAGACAGATCTGGACCCCACTTGAGACAGTGAGATCTGGACCCCACTTGAGACAGATCTGGACCCCACTTGAGACAGTGAGATCTGGATCCCACTTGAGACAGTGAGATCTGGACCCCACTTGAGACACTGAGATGGACCCCACTTGAGACAGTGAGATCTGGACCCCACTTGAGACAGTGAGATCTGGACCCCACTTGAGACAGATCTGGACCCCACTTGAGACAGTGAGATCTGGATCCCACTTGAGACAGTGAGATCTGGACCCCACTTGAGACAGTGAGATCTGGACCCCACTTGAGACAGTGAGATCTGGACCCCACTTGAGACAGTGAGATCTGGACCCCACTTGAGACAGTGAGATCTGGACCCCACTTGAGACAGATCTGGACCCCACTTGAGACAGTGAGATCTGGACCCCACTTGAGACAGTGAGATCTGGACCCCACTTGAGACAGTGAGATCTGGACCCCACTTGAGACAGATCTGGACCCCACTTGAGACAGATCTGGACCCCACTTGAGACAGATCTGGACCCCACTTGAGACAGATCTGGACCCCACTTGAGACAGATCTGGACCCCACTTGAGACAGTGAGATCTGGACCCCACTTGAGACAGATCTGGACCCCACTTGAGACAGATCTGGACCCCACTTGAGACAGTGAGATCTGGACCCCACTTGAGACAGTGAGATCTGGACCCCACTTGAGACAGATCTGGACCCCACTTGAGACAGATCTGGACCCCACTTGAGACAGTGAGATCTGGATCCCACTTGAGACAGTGAGATCTGGACCCCACTTGAGACAGATCTGGACCCCACTTGAGACAGTGAGATCTGGACCCCACTTGAGACAGATCTGGACCCCACTTGAGACAGTGAGATCTGGATCCCACTTGAGACAGTGAGATCTGGACCCCACTTGAGACAGATCTGGACCCCACTTGAGACAGTGAGATCTGGATCCCACTTGAGACAGTGAGATCTGGATCCCACTTGAGACAGTGAGATCTGGACCCCACTTGAGACAGATCTAGACCCCACTTGAGACAGTGAGATCTGGACCCCACTTGAGACAGTGAGATCTGGACCCCACTTGAGACAGATCTGGACCCCACTTGAGACAGTGAGATCTAGACCCCACTTGAGACAGTGAGATCTGGACCCCACTTGAGACAGTGAGATCTAGACCCCACTTGAGACAGTGAGATCTGGACCCCACTTGAGACAGTGAGATCTAGACCCCACTTGAGACAGTGAGATCTGGACCCCACTTGAGACACTGAGATGGACCCCACTTGAAACAGTGAGATCTGGACCCCACTTGAGACAGTGAGATCTGGACCCCACTTGAGACACTGAGATGGACCCAACTTGAGACAGTGAGATCTGGACCCCACTTGCGACAGTGAGATCTGGATCCCACTTGAGACAGTGAGATAAAGACCCCACTTGAGACAGTGAGATCTAGACCCCACTTGAGACAGTGAGATCTGGACCCCACTTCAGACAGTGAGACCTGGACCCCACTTGAGACAGTGAGATCTGGACCCCACTTGAGACAGTGAGATCTGGACCCCACTTGAGACAGTGAGATCTGGACCCCACTTGAGACAGTGAGATCTGGACCCCACTTGAGACAGTGAGATCTGGACCCCACTTGAGACAGATCTGGACCCCACTTGAGACAGTGAGATCTGAACCCCACTTGAGACAGTGAGATCTGGACCCCACTTGAGACAGTGAGATCTGGACCCCACTTGAGACAGTGAGATCTGGATCCCACTTGAGACAGTGAGACAGATCTGGACCCCACTTGAGACAGTGAGATCTGGACCCCACTTGAGACAGTGAGATCTGGATCCCACTTGAGACAGTGAGATCTGGATCCCACTTGAGACAGTGAGACAGATCTGGATCCCACTTGAGACAATAAGATCTGGACCCCACTTGAGACAGTGAGATCTGGACCCCACTTGAGACAGTGAAATCTGGACCCCACTTGAGACAGTGAGATCTGGACCCCACTTGAGACAGTGAGATCTGGACCCCACTTGAGACAGTGAGATCTGGACCCCACTTGAGACAGTGAGATCTGGACCCCACTTGAGACAGTGATATGTGGACCCCACTTGAGACAGTCAGATATGGACCCCAATTGGGACAGTGAGATCTGGACCCCACTTGAGACAGTCAGATATGGACCCCAATTGACAGTGAGATCTGGACCCTATTTGAGACAGTGAGATCTGGACCCCACTTGAGACAGTGAGATCTGGACCCACTTGAGACAGTCAGATATGGACCCCAATTGACAGTGAGATCTGGACCCTATTTGAGACAGTGAGATCTGGACCCCACTTGAGACAGTGAGATCTGGACCCACTTGACAGTGAGATGGACCCCACTTGAGACAGTGAGATCTGGACCCCACTTGAGACAGTGAGATCTGGACCCCACTTAAGACAGTGAGATCTGGACCCCACTTTAGACACTCTGGACCCCACTTGAGACAGTGAGATCTGGACCCCACTTGAGACAGTGAGAACTGGACCCCACTTGAGACAGTGAGATCTGGACCCCACTTGAGACAGTGAGATCTGGACCCCATTTGAGACAGTGAGATCTGGACCCCACTTGAGACAGTGAGATCTGGACCCCACTTGAGACAGTGAGATGTGGACCCCACTTGAGACAGTGAGATCTGGACCCCACTTGAGACAGTGAGATCTGGACCCCACTTGAGACAGTGAGATCTGGATCCCACTTGAGACAGTGAGACAGATCTGGACCCCACTTGAGACAGTGAGATCTGGACCCCACTTGAGACAGTGAGATCTGGACCCCACTTGAGACAGTGAGATCTGGACCCCACTTGAGACAATGAGATCTGGACCCCACTTGAGACAGTGAGATCTGGACCCCACTTGAGACAGTGAGATCTGGACCCCACTTGAGACAGTGAGATCTGGACCCCACTTGAGACAGTGAGATCTGGACCCCACTTGAGACAGTGAGATCTGGACCCCACTTGAGACAGTGAGATCTGGACCCCACTTGAGACACTCTGGACCCCACTTGAGACAGTGAGATCTGGATCCCACTTGAGACAGTGAGACAGATCTGGACCCCACTTGAGACAGTGAGATCTGGACCCCACTTGAGACAGTGAGATCTGGATCCCACTTGAGACAGTGAGATCTTTATCCCACTTGAGACAGTGAGACAGATCTGGATCCCACTTGAGACAGTGAGATCTGGATCCCACTTGAGACAGTGAGATCTGGATCCCACTTGAGACAGTGAGATCTGGATCCCACTTGAGACAGTGAGACAGATCTGGACCCCACTTGAGACAGTGAGATCTGAACCCCACTTGAGACAGTGAGATCTGGACCCCATTTCAGACAGTGAGATCTGGATCCCACTTGAGACAGTGAGACAGATCTGGACCCCACTTGAGACAGTGAGATCTGGACCCCACTTGAGACAGTGAGATCTGGATCCCACTTGAGACAGTGAGATCTGGATCCCACTTGAGACAGTGAGACAGATCTGGATCCCACTTGAGACAATGAGATCTGGACCCCACTTGAGACAGTGAGATCTGGACCCCACTTGAGACAGTGAGATCTGGACCCCACTTGAGACAGTGAGATCTGGACCCCACTTGAGACAGTGAGATCTGGACCCCACTTGAGACAGTGAGATCTGGACCCCACTTGAGACAGTGAGATCTGGACCCCACTTGAGACAGTGATATGTGGACCCCACTTGAGACAGTCAGATATGGACCCCAATTGGGACAGTGAGATCTGGACCCTATTTGAGACAGTGAGATCTGGACCCCACTTGAGACAGTCAGATATGGACCCCAATTGACAGTGAGATCTGGACCCTATTTGAGACAGTGAGATCTGGACCCCACTTGAGACAGTCAGATATGGACCCCAATTGACAGTGAGATCTGGACCCCACTTGAGACAGTGAGATCTGGACCCTATTTGAGACAGTGAGATAGAGACCCCACTTGAGACAGTGAGATCTGGACCCTATTTGAGACAGTGAGATAGAGACCCCACTTGAGACAGTGAGATCTGGACCCTATTTGAGACAGTGAGATCTGGACCCCACTTGAGACAGTGTGATGGACCCCACTTGAGACAGTGAGATCTGGACCCTATTTGAGACAGTGAGATCTGGACCCCACTTGAGACAGTGTGATGGACCCCACTTGAGACAGTGAGATCTGGACCCTATTTGAGACAGTGAGATCTGGACCCCACTTGAGACAGTGTGATGGACCCCACTTGAGACAGTGAGATCTGGACCCTATTTGAGACAGTGAGATAGAGACCCCACTTGAGACAGCGGCGAGATAAGCATGGATCCCTTATTTAAACCATCAAGTTTTGACCCCTATTGAGGAAGGTTCTGATCCCTATTGAGGCAATACAGGCTGGAGTGTTGTAGAAAGGTGTGGACCCTACTTTGACAGTGAAATTTTAATGTTATTACAATGGTAAGGTTTTGACCTTAATTGAGACTGTACCAACTGAGAATAGTGACAATGATGTCTGGACCCCAAATGAGAATAGTAACATTAGGGGGCTGGAACCCCAAATGAGAATAGTGACAGTGAGTTCAGACCCAAAATGAGAATAGTGACAGTGGTGTGTACCCCAAATGAGAATAGTGACACAGAGACAGCAAGTAATGCTCAACACAAAAACAAAACTTACAATAAACTTGCGCTTCTTGTCTATCCCAGGTTTCTCTATTGTAATACACCGTATAAGTCCCCAGCAGCCGGAGGTGGGGCAGGGTTTGTCTAGAATGTCCTGAAATAAATACAAGGGGGCTTACTCAAACATAGGAGGCAAGTAAATGTAAAGTTACCCTTTTTGACCTGGAGGTCAATAGGGCTTTTAAAGTAGAGTTCACCTATTTCTATGACCCCAGTATATCAAGAAATAGTCTGGTCAATTATATGCCTAACCATTTTTACTTTCCAATCATTCCATGGTTGACTCAGGGATGCCCTAAGGACTCAAGCCCAGGATTCAAACTCAAGACTTTTTTGTTAGCAGCCTTGCACTCTTCTGTCTAACCACACCGTCACATAAAAAGGTAATGGATATTGAAATTACTGTCTACTATCACAACCCTAACCCTGACCTCAATCTTGAACATAACCCTAATTATGACCCCTGCCATAATATTCAGCATTTAATTAATAACAGGGTAGGTTAATCCTGATTATAAGTTTACAGGATTTTTTATAAGACCCCACAAAACTATCATTTTCCTTACTATTTTTTGTCTATTTTCAAAATCTATGAAGCATAAAAATATGCACTTTCAAAAGCCATGAAAGAAAACAAACCTTGTCTAAATATTTTTCTGTCAAACCCTGCTTGTACAGCTTCCAACACACAGAGTGGAAAGTTAAAACACATTTGGCGCTGCAGTTTAATATCACGGAACCCTGAGAAAGAGGAAAGCTATAGTAAGACATGTGATGGTGAAAAAGTGCCCTTTCGAATCAGATGGTCTATAGGGGCTGGGGAGTTAAATCTTCTACTGTGAAAATTTTTCTTTCAAAAAAAAAAAAGCTGTCGCTTGTCATGTGACAACTTTTTTAAAAAGGTGTCACATTATGACAAAAAAAAATTTTATAAATTATGTCCCTTGCCAAGTGACATGATTTAATATAGTTATGTCCCTTATATTGTAACAATTAACACATGTTCTGATCCATGATTCAAAATCAAACAGCTAACCTTATAATCAGGGTAATTATATAAAATTTCTCTGGAACTATTCTCTGCGTCAAGATGAAATGGACATATGGTATCAGACTTGGATGGTAAAGTGCATTGTTCTAATCGGTCTTTCATTAATTTCTGGAATTTAAAACACGTTTTATTTAATTCACATGGAAGAGCATTATTATTTAAGTAAAAGATAAATATATATATATATATATATATATATATATATATATATATATATATATACAAATATAAACACAACAAAATGCAGTAAAGCAAGGTATAAAATTTTAGAACATACCTTATTAACATTTTAATAAATTTAGATTTGAATGACAGAAGTGAATAATAAAAGATCCTTGGTATTACAGAACTAATTCATAAAGTCATAAAGGGCTAAAGGAATTGGAGCCCTATCTTCATGAACATGACAGAAAAGACTGAGTGGGCCTGGTGAAAGTGGAAACACAACTGTGTTTCATTCATTATTATGATGGCAAGAATTGTTGTAGATTCCATATGGCAACCCAATTTAATTTTTTCTATGTATCAGTTATGTATCAAAAAGACTTAAGGGCAAATCTTTAAAAAAAAACTTTTTGCATGGTCTAGGCAATTCTATCAATACAAAAGTTTTTTTTTAAAACTTAAAGTTATTTACTATGTTTGGTTATTTTATAACATTTGTATGCACAAGGTAAAGTAGAATGCAGAAACTACAATGAACAACAAAACAATTGAACCATTATTTGCATTAAGAAGACCTAGTGCAGTTACACTTATTTTTTAAAGTAAGGCTATATTTTTTTAAATAATTTGTTTAGCAGATAAAAGATAGTAATATTGTTTTTGTGTGGGTAAAAAATGTTATCATTCAATTCTACAACAAAATACAGGAGAATACAGATAAGTAACAGGGGCGGCGTGGTCGAGTCGGTAAAGCTCATGGTTGCTAAACCGAAAAGTCTCGAGTTCGAACCCTCGGGCAGATGAGGCTCGTTAGCTGGGGACAGCCACTCTTCTAGGAGAGACAACTCCAAAATTAAACAACTGCTGCCTTGCAGTTTGTTCTTGGTTGGACAAAGGCTATGGAAGCAAATCCAAAAAGAAAAGCAGGCTGAAATCGGAGTCAATGGCCTCAATGGCGCATAACCAGTTGACACGTAACGCTTAATTGTGTTGGAGGCGTGGTCGAGTCGGCAAAAAAAAAAAGCTCATGGTTGATAAATTCGAACAAAGTCTCGAGTTCAAACGCACTGGCAGATAAATCTCGATCCCCTTCAACACTAATAATTAAGAACGAAGAAGAAGAAGAAGAACAGATAAGTAAAAATGTTTAGGGAGATTAAATGTCTAAAAAAAAGTAATGCATAAAAGCATTCAATATTTCATTGGATTGTTTTATTTTTAAATGAGTGGTGATAAAAAGAATGGTTTTGTGGCAATTGATTCTGTTTGACCTACCAGTAATTTACTGTGATTTGTTTCATCTATTGATTTACTACTCTGTGGCCACTTGACCAAGTCTTCCTGCTCAATATTTTTCAACTTTTCCAATCCTAGTTTTAAATACTGTCTTGCTTCTTCAATTCTAGGAAAGATAATTCACAAATTAGGACAATTTAACCAATCATTTTAAAAAAGTCTACAATTAATAATCTTCTCTTCTTCAAAAACATTCTCACATCCAAATTTGTTAATTCACATCTATTTTCTCTCTCAGTTCAAACGACAGTCATTGTCTTTTCACAAGGAAAACAATCTTTGCGTTCAATGCTAGCTTTATTTTTGTTGCTACTTGTTGCCATTGGTAAAAATGTACTAACCTATTAAGTAAAAAATAAGCCTCCCCTAATCCATAATACACAGCCAAAAAAGGCTCAGGTGATCTAAGTATTGTAAGAAATTTGTCGATTGCATTTTGTACATTCTAGAAAATGAAAAAGATTAGAGACATGATCACAATACTTATTTAAGTTTTCAATAGAGAAAATATATATACTAATCAGTAAGAAATAGAGATTTTTAATAAAATAAAATAAAAAATCAACAGTAAAAAAAATATAGATCTACAACAAAGAAATTTAAAAAAAAATGTATTATGAGACTTACATTCAAATTAGAAGATCGAATACAAGCTAAGCCATAGACAAAATGTAACACCATCACATCTTTATCTTCTACATTAAATACCTGAGGAAACCCAGTTTCAATGTACATGTACAAACAAGGTAAATTGGATGACCAAGTATAAGAATAATTATAAAGTAACTCTTTTTCCCCTATATTTAACTCTCAAGAGTATTATAACATGATTTGTTGTTGATAGCAGAACTAATATTTCAGTTAAACCTAGTTAATCTATATTTTAATTAAATACTTGTTTTTAACTTAATAAAATTTATTTAAACCATTAAATAAATTTCCTTAAAAATTTGAACATATTTGGCAATTATACTGAATAATGATTGACTTACCTTTGCACCATATTTCGATAATAAATTCATAGCATTTTGATATGATTCAATGGCTTTATTATACTGCTTCATCCAGTATGCACTGGATCCGTTGGATAAATTTACAATATATTCTGTCATGGGTAATCCATCCTCAGGAGGCTGGAATGATTTTTTAAAAAGTATTTTAATAATTAAAAAAATCATGTGTTACTGTTGTTACAGACTGAAATATGTTTTATGTTTTAATAACGATGAACTATTATGCAAATAGTAGAAAGTTAAAAGAAAACAATTTTTATTCATTAATACACATTTGTAAATTATTATTGTTTCTTAATCTTAAATTATTACCTTAAGACATAACAATAACAAATATATTTTCATTTTTTTTTTTATCATTTAAAATATTTTTCATCACTAGAATCATTTAATTAAATGAATATTATGTATAAATTCTTTTTTCTGATCTGCCTAAGTTATAGCATCTAAAAAGTTTAAACGCAAAAAAAAAAAATCAAACTAAGTTTAATTAATTAACACATAAAAATACACACCTCGTTTTCTTTTTCCTCCACTTTCTCCACGCTCGTGTTGTCCCTCTCTTTGTTCCTGGTGAATTTAAACAAAAACAGAATCCATAAGTTCATGAACCACAGCCACCACAACCCAGCAGGCAGTTGTAGCAACATTCTGCACCAGTCTTAACCTCCTCCGTCACCCCACACAGAAACTAGTCGAGGCAGCCGTCTTCTCTCCTCTGCACAAGTCTTAACCTCCTCCGTCACCCCACACAGAAACTAGTCGAGGCAGCCGTCTTCTCTCCTCTGCACAAGTCTTAACCTCCTCCGTCACCCCACATAGAAACTAGTTGTAGAGCATTCTACACTTTCTGCACTGGTCTTAACTGTCTTCAACTGCCACCCCACACAAAAACTAAAACCTGTATTCCATGTATTAAGTAAACAAAGCCAACACACCTGCTCTTTGACCTCCCTTGAAGACTGAAAGCTGGAGAGAAAAAAAAAATAGAAATTCATTCATTAAGAAAAAAAAAAGTCATTAGTGAAAATTTATGTTCGTAGTGTAAACATATTTTTTTCTTCATTTTTTTTCATGAGTAAGAGCGAACGTTTATTTTTTAAAATCACTTTCATGAACAGAGTGTTGGATTGATGTTTATGACAACAAAGTGTGAATGTGAAATTGTGCTTTGTTTGTTTATTCTAGTTTAAGTCTGATGTAGGTCGGTCGTAAACATGTGTGTCAGACATGAAAGCGTGACACATGGAGGTGGGCAGACAGACAAACAAATAAAACAAAACAAAAATAAAAATCTTGTAACTGTGTTGACGCATAAATCAGGTTAAATGGTAGGGTGTTAATGGATATCTTTGTCTACAGACTTCAAAGCAACGGTGACTCATCTTTTAAACAAATTTTTTTTAAGAAGAGTCACAATTACTTCAAATGTAATCTACACTGTTACTAGAAATTTTATACTAGCAAATCACATGAAATTCTATTTGTAAAAAAAAATACTATGCCATGATATATTTCAACGTACCACAACAGTCTATCATTACATTGTTTATTGATTAAGAAGTATATGTGATACTAAAAGACGGTAAAGGTTTTACATCCTTGCACTCAAATTATAAATAAAATACCCAATTTCCAAATCTTCCTCTATCTCACAGACTATAATATACGAGCCGACCCGCGGCATATCATACGCCGCTATTTAGTTGTTGTTTTTCTACTTTTCAGTAATTCATAATTTGTGAATTCGACAGTACCAACGCTGCCACTGAAAATATTTCTTTAAAACACTATAAGTAGCTCGTTAAGGACGATACCCCCCCCCCTCCGTTAAAGTAAACTCCACTTAGTTACCCCCCTCCCCCCCTACGTTTAAAATCGTTTCAAACTAAATTATCTGCCCCTAATAGTCGTCACTAAACCCGGCTCTGCTTGTAAACATTTAGTGTGAACCACAGCTCACCAGACCATGTAGGGGTGGGGGTGGTAGGGAGCGCGCTTACAGCTTGTTTTCTAGCGTCTCCCAGAAGAGAATTATATATATAGATTCTGTGTATAACATTGGTGGTGTTTTATATAAGGTTGTATCCTGTCTTTTTAGTTTTTATTTTTTTTTAATTTAGCATTTTTTTTATTAATATTTGTATTTAAATTTTAACAGGTATATTGTGAGGTTCTCAATTTTAGCTATCGATACTTAACCATGTAGGGAAATGAAAGCTGAGAATCCCATAGGAAGAAGTACCATTAATAAACAGAAGGTGTCATTAAAGTAAGTTTTACAAGATATTACTTAGTCTTAATGTCAATCTGCCAGTCAGTTTATGGTCAAATCTTCTGACCCAATGATAGCCCCTTTCAAAATAAACTGATGTTTATCAATATTTTGCAGTCAAGAGCATTGCCAATGATGATACAAGAACATCTCACTTTAATCGAGTAATTATATACTTAATTAGTTATCAAAAATGTATTTAAAGGCAACTATAGTCAATAACAAAAGGGGAGATAACTAAGTAGAAGCTATCAGTCCGGTGAGCTGTGTTCTTAAACATTGTTTACCAATATAAAAGCAATAAAATACTTAAAAAAAACTTTTTAAAAAACCACGTTTTTCTTGTGGACTAAAAAGTAGAAAATAACTATTTACATACATTTGATGACAAAAAACGTGGGTACGTTCACCATCAAATTTCCCGACCCATCTGCCCGACCCACGTTTTTTGTCATCAAATGTATGTAAATAGTTATTTTCTACTTTTTAGTCCACAAGAAAAACGTGGTTTTTTAAAAAGTTTTTTTTAAGTATTTTATTTTCTCCTTTTTAGTCCGTTGCTACACATGAAAAACGTGGTTTTTAAAAAAGTTTTTTATATAGTTTATTTTCTACTTTATCTAATGACTTGATTAAGTATGAATTGACTAAGTGTTTATAAATACACGGACTAAAAAAATCTTGAGCGACCAGGATTCGAACCTGGGTTGTCGCGGCCACAACGCGAAGTACTAACCACTATACGATCACGGCCAGCGCGCTCACATCGATTGGGGCCGAAGTAACTGTGTCAATAAGCCTCCAGTCTTGTCGGTATCTTTAGAAATCATGTCCTCAATTTTATGGTCCTTTGGGCGTAATTAAATTAAGCTAATTACGGTCTCTAATTGCTAGTTTTTATGATTGCATCTGAAATTGTTAGGCGAAAGTAGCCTGCATGCCAAATTTCGGAACTATAGAACAATCAGAAGTGGGCTAATTTTCGATGTCAATTTTAACAACAAACACACAAACGCGAAGCCGAGTTAATAAAAACGTGTTAAAATGAAAAAAAAACTAGATAGACGTCTTTTATATGGGAATATTGGCAGCATATTCTATTGCAAACTATAACTGAATTGATCAGGTCTAAATTAATTTTTATAATGGGTAAAAGTTGACTTAAAAATGATAAGCTTGGAAAGAAAAAAAAAGCTATCAATTGGTTTTAAACTTTAAAACTAACTTCCTTTATAATATTAACTGCAAAAAAGAAGAACATAAATCAAGTACAAAAATCTTTATAGTAAGCTTTATACAAACTAAAAATATAATAAACACATTCTCTTAAAGAACAGTGAAACGAATTAGTCAGTCCAGATGGCTTATCAATCATTTTTTTCAGGTGAACTATTATAGATTTTTATGAAAATGTCTGTTTTTAAATATTTTTTATTGCATTTAAAAGCTTCTAAACCTAAAAACGTTTTAATGCTTGATTTATTTTTGTATTGACTGAGTGTTATGTTGTAAAATAGTGACTTTGAAGATTACTTTCCACAGTCCTCCCATTCCCTCCCCCCCCCCCCCCCCCCCCCCCATTTGGCGATTAAAATATCAAAAGTTGTAGCCAAACGCAAGCAGAGTATTGGGAAGGGAGATGATCACTGCATCATTATATGTTTTACATGGTTTATTCCCCTTGCAGTTTGTTGACAAAAAATGTATTAGATTTTGTACTTTGCAAGTGTGCAACACTTAACAATAAATAGAACAGAGCTATTTTTTTTTGGAGGAAGGGGGGTGGGGCAGCAATCTTCTCTGATATGATTTTAGTCCGATAAAGATGTTAATAGTTATTTGATCTCAGTAATGAAAGTTCATTTTTATGGCTTATACAGGAGGAAAGGCATATGATCTGTGACATGAACATCTTCAGAACAGCATTTTGTTAGGAAGCTCTTTAAATATATTTGAATTTTTTACTTTATTTTTTTTATCTTAAGTCACACAGAGAACAACAACTTCAAATACTAACCACAGATCCCAAAAAATCATTTCAAATAAAACCACATATCCAAACAAAAAGTTATGATATAAACCACAGATTCAAACAATCATTTCAAATTAAACCACATATCTAAACAAAAACTTATATGCCACAGATCCAAACAATCATTTCAAATAAAACCACATATCTAAACAAAAAGTTATAATATAAACCACATATACAAACAAGCATTTCAAATAAAACCACATATCTAAACAAAAACTTATAATATAAACCACAGATACAAACAATCATTTCAAATAAAACCACATATCTAAACAAAAACTTATAATATAAACCACAGATACAAACAAGCATTTCAAATAAAACCAATCAACAATTTCATACACACACCACAGATCCAAACAATTAGCTCAAATATAAACCACAGACATAAAAAGGTCAAATATATACCACAGATCCAAACAATTAGCTCAAATATAAACCACAGACATAAAAAGGTCAAATATATACCACAAATCCAAACAATTAGCTCAAATATAAACCACAGACATAAAAAGGTCAAATATATACCACAGATCCAAACAATTAGCTCAAATATAAACCACAGACATAAAAAGGTCAAATATATACCACAGATCCAAACAATTAGCTCAAATATAAACCACAGACATAAAAAGGTCAAATATATACCACAGATCCAAACAATTAGCTCAAATATAAACCACAGACATAAAAAGGTCAAATATATACCACAGATCCAAACAATTAGCTCAAATATAAACCACAGACATAAAAAAGGTCAAATATACACCACAGCTATAAAGCACAAGTTCAAATATAAACCACAGACATAAAAAAAAGGTCACATTTATACCACAGATACACAGCACAAGTTCAAATATAAACACAGATACAAAGCACAAGTTCAAATACAAACACAGATACAAAGCACACCTTCAAATATAAACACAGATACAAAGCATACCTTCAAATATAAACACAGATACAAAGCACAAATTCAAATATAAACACAGATACAAAGCACAAGTTCAAATATAAACAAAGATACAAAGCACACCTTCAAATATAAACAGATACAAACAAGTTCAAACCACACCACAGATCTAAACAAACAAGTTCAAATCACACCACAGATCTTAACAAACATGTTCAAACCACACCACAGATCCCAACATTAAGTTCAAATATAAACCACAGATACAAAGCACAAGTTCAAATATAAACAGATACAAACAAGTTCAAACCACACCACAGATCTTAACAAGCTCAAACCCACATCATAGACAAATACAAACAAGTCCAAACCACACCACAGATCCAAACATACCTTCAATATCCTGCTGCAGCTGGTTATAAGACTTTATGATGGATGAATCCGAAGAATTTTTCATGGCTGTTTTGTTCATATCCTCAGCCTTGTCGATATAACTAAAGTGTAGATACAGCCGGGCGGCCTCCAGACAATTCTAAACACAAATGTACACAACAATTATCTACCCATTGTTGCCAAGTAATATTCATTTAACTCAACAAAACTGTATACAAAAAATTACCTAACCATTGTTGGCATAACATTCATTCAACTCTGAGTGTCATGGTATGTTGAGTTTTGATCTAACACATTGTATTGATTTTGTGTTATGCGGGTGAGTATGAATACGCTAGATATTGATTTGTTGTTGAGCAGTTCATGAATTATTTTCTATTCTTTTTTTTATATTGTTGAAACGCAAATTTGCTTTTATACACATTTTATTTTTTGAGTTTTCAATTTGAAGAAGTGTGTGAGAAGACTGGGCAAGTTTCTGGTGAGCTTATTAAAAAACTCAACTGTGTGTAAGCGGAACAAATATTTTATGATGTTTGGCTCAATGTTTCTTCAAAAGATAGAATAAATGTAACTAACAAGAAGTGAATAAAATGTTGATAACTATACTAGAATGTGCTAAAATTTAATAGTCAAATTAAACAAACATCTTCTGTTTGACAATTTTAATGTAACGGGCGAACATCTACCCTGCTCGCAGCGGCAATTGTAACGGGCGGACATTTATCCTGCCGACAACGCCAATTATAACGAGCCAACAGTTACTATGCTCGCACGCCACATGTAATGAGACCTAATTGTCTGTAGTGCCAAATGTTAACGAGTTCTGACCACTCATTCTAGACAACATCGACCACAGTATAGATACTCAAGATGCAGGTTCGCTATTGATCCTTTATTACATGAATCAAGAAATGTTTCATAATCACACAAGAAATCAACAGGAATGCTTCTCAATAATAGTCTGGATCAACTGACCCCCTAACAGTCCTCACTAGGCTTCGTATAACTGAATCCACATGTCTATAGTCCTTCTTTACACAATACGGCTAACCCGTTCTATAACCAACATTGATACTGTCACAACTAGCGGTGAAAAGAGAAGAGAGCGATCTCCGCCGTCCCCTCCTATTTATCCTTAGTATTCGTAGTCGTACTTGTCTCCATTTCCGTAATCGATACTTGTAATCGATGTATCCGAATACTAATGTCGCAGTTTCTGACCTACCGTCCGATTTACTAAAACATCTGCATCCCATCAATCAAAGTTGACAGCTCGTCTGAAACTTCTCGTACCGTTTCCCAAAATAGCACGCGTTGGCTTTGAGATTGTTATCAGACCGATCTAATAAGCCACCTGTTATAGTTGCATCAGACTGTAAACTGCGTCTCGGCTTCTCGTTCGTTATCAGATTTGTAACTAGTAGTTAGGCCTACCCTAGTTACATTAATAAGCAATGAAGAGAAGTGTGTTTCTGTAAAATGTGAACTATCAACAATTGAAACAATATGCAACTTAAGAAACAGATAGACAAACTAAACAAGTCTCTTGTTGGACAAAGTAAGAAAGAAATCTGTCATACAATGTAAGCAAGAAATCAGCAATACAATGTAAGCAAGAAATCAGTCAAAAGATAATGTAAGCAAGAAATCTGTCAGACAATATAAGAAGAAATCAGTCAGATAATATAAGAAGAAATCAGTCAGACAATGTAAGAAGAAATATGTCAGATAATATAAGAATGTAAGCAAGATACCAGTTGAACAAGGTAAACATGAAATCAACAAGACTATGTATGTCAGAAACTGGTTAGGCAATATAATTAAATAATCAGTTGGATCGTGTAAGCACATAATCAGTTGGATAGTGTAAGCACATAATCAGTTGGACAGTGTAAGCACATAATCAGTTGGACAGTGTAAGCACATAATCAGTTGGACAGTGTAAGCAAGAGAAGGTTGAAGTAAACAAAGAGATAATGTAATCAGTTGGACAGTGTAAGCAAGAGAGATGGTTGAAGTAAACAAAGAGATGATGTAATCAGTTGGACAGTGTAAGCACGTAATCAGTTGGTCAGTGTAAGCAAGAGACAAGGCTGAAGTAAATGATGCATGTAATAGCTCACCTCAGCAGATTTCTTGTCCAATGCTACAGCTCTGATACAGTCACACAAAGCTTCCCTGTGGAACACATTTCAGCATAGATCATTTCATAATAAACTGGCTGGGGTTCTTATTACATTTTGTCATTTTGATATACAGGGTTGTGATGCATTAAATAGTGTGGTGGTGTATTAAATAGTGTGGTTTAGATATATAGCATGGTAATTCATTAAAGAGTGTGGTTTAGATATAAAGGATAGTGGTGTATTAAATAGTGTGGTTTAGATATATAGGATGGACTTTACAATATGCAGTGTGTGCTACTATTGAATTTATAATGATGACAACAAAAAGATAAGTTTGGATCACTCATACCTACAGTACACAATACAATCAAGCCTATGATCCCAAGAATAAAACCTAATGTTGTGATAATGTGATACAACACTATCAACTGTGTGGTCCCAACATTATTGAAGGAAAGAATAAAACCTAATGTTGTGATACAACACTACCAACTGTGTGGTCCCAACATTATTGAAGGAAAGAATAAAACCTAATGTTGTGATACAACACTACCAACTGTGTGATCCCAACATTATAGAAGGTTAGAATAAAACCTAATGTTGTGATACAACACTCAACTGTGTGATACCAACATTACTGAAGGAAAAAATAAAACCTAATACAACACTCAACTGTGTGATCTCAACATTATTTAAGGAAAGAATAAAACCTAATGTTGTGATACAACACTACAATCTTCATATTAAACAGGGAAACACAGAAACCTAATGCAATAAATAGAGTAATTTCATTTTGGAAACACATCCTGCAACTTGTTCCTTAAACAACTTGTTTATAAATCATAAATAAATCTAATGTAGAATTTATCTATAAAAACAAAAATTATATCAGCTGCTTCCTCCTACATAAAAATTATATGTTGATACAAAGCACAGCTGCTATTTTATAATAGAACAAAAACAAAAGAGGATTAAAGATGAAAAAGTAAAGTTGCTAAAGCATGAATTGTTTATTTTCTTTGTGTAAAATTGATATTTGTGTGGGTGAGTCAGTAGATAACTACTGTCAGTGATGATGGGCGAGTTCAATCAAATTAAAATGCAACAGTAAAAACCACGAGATCATTAAGCTGATTATATTTGTATAATTTTCAATGAAATTAAAATACAATAGTAAAATAAATGAGATCATTAAGCTGATTATATTTGTTTAATTTTGAATAAAATCAAAATACAACAGTGAAAAAAGACGTTAACATTAAGATTATTAAATTAATATGTTTTTAGGTATATTTGAATTGTTTCTATAATACCATACATTTTTTCTTAAAACAAAAAACTTCAGAAAATTCTATTGTCTAAACAGTGAAGAGCAAATCAATTTTAGTATAATACACATTCCAGAAACATAAGAAACCAACCCAGGCATGTCAAAAGAATAAACGCACACAATTAATAGAATGGTTAACTATTAAAAAGACTTTTTTTTTTAAATTAACAACAAAAATAGGACAACTTTTCCCAAGTGCTAAAAGGGTTACAGAAGGATGTAAAGGTAAACATAGTTATAACTCACCAATTGTTGTCTAACTTTTTATACGTTTCAGCTCTCTTACTATATAATAAACTGTTAAATGGGCTGAAGATAAATATATAATCTAAGTTACAAAAAAAAACACAAGGAAAAATAAACAGAAAGGAAAAGTTAATATATATATACCTAAAAATTACATGATAAAGGATAATAAGAAGTAGCTGAAATCCATTCAGACTCCAAAACAGTACTCATAAAATTGAAGTACTCTGTGATGACTAATCTTAGTTAACTTTTCCTGGAAATTATTACTGGTGAATCACTGACAAGATTGTATAAAATACATCCTTCAGACTTTGACCACAGTGTGTAGCACTAGGATGTTCTAAAAATAGATGTACTCACTCATGCTTAAGTAGTAATGTAAATATTTCCAGTGCCAAGGTATAGTTTCCTTCTTCAAATGCTGCTAGCCCTCTGTTTATGTTGACATCATTTTTTAACAGCTGGAAAACGTAAACAAAACAGGGTTGGAAAATGTTAACAAAACAGTGCCTGCTATGAAAGCATATCGACCAAACAAAATCATTTAGGCTTTTGAAATACTAAAGTAGATATTTATAGTATCAGCAGCTGGCTGTAGTATCTAGCATGTGTAAAATCATACTTGATAAGAATTGCTCAGTGACTAAATAAATAATATAGAAATAAAATACTATATAGGAGTCTACAACAAAGTGTTTAGATAAACTGATTCACAATAAGCCTAGCTATGGCTTTGAGATAAAACACAATATATCACAGAACATTAATTGCTTTTTGATGATCCTTTCTATTGCCTTTTTATTAATAGAAGTCTTAAGTTAGGTATAGAAACTCCATTCTTAATGACTTCTACAAAATTCATACATATTTCACTTGATTCTGAATGATGTCTCTTCAAGTCCACCTAGCTTATATATGTTTATGATTTCATTCTGAAGGACGTCTTTAAGACCATCTAGCTTAGATATGTTTATGATTTCATCCAAAGTATGTCTCTAAATCCACCAATCTTTGATATGTTTATGGTCTCATTCTGAGGGATATCTCTAAGTCCACTTAACTCAAGACATGGAATTGAGCTGATTCTGTACAGTCCATTGTCCACCAAGCTCAGATATATGATTTGAGACAAGAAAAGTAAACACGGACTTGTTAACTGAGGTCAAAAAACTGATAAGCTATTCTAGCAGAAGTGTAGGGGTGCTTTGCTCAAGGGTACCAGACAACAGAATTGCTGCACATTTAAACAACATAGCTCAATCCTTCAATACTGTTGTGCTTAAATACTGAGAGAAATATAGAGGAGGAAACAACAGCTGCTTCTTCATTACACGGGCCCTTCTAGATATGTATGTTGTAAATTAATCAATACACCGTCTACATTCTATTGCAATAAAGAGAATGGAGAGTGGCATTGCTGATGCAATGAAGCACACCTATTTATACTTAATCTACACAATAGACAATTTTTAAAACTCAATAACATACATTTCTTGAGGCTACAAGTTTCCGAGTAAAGTCAGCCTTATCCACACCATCCCTTCCATATGATACTAAATGATGATGAACTGTTGTGGGGAAGAAGAAATAAAAATAGTAATTTTATTATCTCTTTTTTAAGAGTCTGGTAAAAAAAGTTGAAAATTCAAATTTTAAGTCGCATAAAAGTTAACAAGCCAAAAATAACTGACATAGACAGGTACAAAAATAATCGTGTAAGATCTAAGAAATCAAGTTGTACAAGGTGCATAATTTGTAACATGTGAAAGTTAACAAGACTTAGAGGCACACAACTTATGGTGTAGGATGTGAAAGTTAACAAGACTTAGAGGTACAAAATGTATGGTGTAAGGTGTGAAAGTTAACTAGACTTAGAGGTAGAAAATTTACGGCATAAAATATTTTAAAAACTTACTTGTTTTGAAAAAATAAATCATACACACATGTGGCTGTTTGTTTCTGCGGTCAAAATGTTTTTTTAGCGGGGCCCTTGGAAAGATAAAACAAAATGCTGAATAATATTTGCTCAATTTAATGAAACAAAAGTTTACGCACGCATTTCTGTTAATACTTGTTAAACTAGTGTTGTTAATTTAAATAAGAAAAGCAGAAGAAGATCCATCAACTACTTTGTAAGATACACTGAGACATGTAACAACATAATTCCAACAGATATCCTATAACAGTTGATAAGCATCTGAAACCAGTATAGGTATTTAAATAAACAAACATAATAAAAATGAGCTTTAGAAGATAATTTATAAATATTTCAATATCTCTAAGTAAATAGTAACATACTATATTTACCTAGATAATTCCTTTTCAAGAAAAAAAAATATTGTAATTAAAAAAATGCCACAAAATTTTTAAAAGTCAGCCAATATGATAATGAGTGCACTGATTAAAACCAACAATGTATCAAGACTGCAAGAAATCAACACAGGTAAGCATTCCTTAGGAGGGACAAACAATCTCTTTAATCCAGAGAATTTGTTTCAACATGAACTAGTCTATACTGACAAATCAATTGTGGCTATTTATAGATCACATAGATACAAACACACAAGAAAGGGTATTCCCAAAAAACAAGGCTGACCCAGTTATGACCTGGCACACTGTAAATACAAATTTTACTCCACAAGGAGAGGTTTTCTGCTGGGGTATGAATTGGTATTGATTTTATCAGCTGTGTTATGCAGTGAATTCTTCCTCTAATCAATAGCTCATTTAAATTCTAAATCAAACACGTGGACCAATAGTTTTAGAATGTCAGGCATGTAGACAGGGAAATACAATAGGCCTTGGGTTTGTTTGAATAGAGAAAAAAGTGCTAGCAATGCATTAGTTAGCATGAATTGAAAAAAAAAATTAAATACTGCAACATGAAGAGGTAGTTCAAAGTTGTGCAAAGTACTGTAGAAAATATTAGGTTTAAAGTACTAGTCATAAAGTACATAAGTGTCAGGTGACCAGGTATGTATAAATGACAGTACTATGTTGTTAGGATTAAAGTACTTCCTTAAAGTACACGAATGCCTTATGGCCAGAACTGAGAAATGTCTGAATGACAGTACTATGTTATTTTAGGTTGAAAGTAGTTCCTTAAAGTATATAAGTGTCAGGTGACCAGGTTTGTATAAATGACAGTACTATGCTGTTAGGTTTAAAGTACTTCCTTAAAGTACACAAAAGCCAGAAGGCCAGCAATGTATAAATGACAGTACTATGTTGTTAGGTTTAAAGTACTTCCTTAGAGTACATTTGAGTGGGTTGGGTAACAGGATGTTTCCTGTTAAAGTACAGTATGGCTATGAGTTCACCAGTGGACCTGTGTGTGTGTGGGGGGGGGGGGGGGGGGGGGGGAGAGAGGAGAGAGAAGGAGAGAAGGGAGGTAAATGTGTCCAAAAATAAACACACATCACTTCCAATGAATGTGTTCAACATCACAACAGGGTTGTACAAATAAATAGCCTTGCTACTGAACTGTGGTTAATATTTTTAAATAGCTTACAAGTAATTGAAGTATGTCATCTGACAGACTGATCTCCAGGGTGTCATAATAATTTATTTTTACCCTAAGGTTTATCTTAAATTGAGTAATAATTTACCTTACTACATTTACATTATCTAATAAGGTATTATAGGTCAACCCATTTAAAAACTACAACCTGCAATGTGCATTTTTTAATTTGTTTTTTTTTTTTTGTTTTTTTTTTCTCTAATGCAGTTTATATAATGTAGAATCTTAACTGTTATGTTAATAAAGAAAGATCAGAAAACCAATTCAAATAAAATTCTTTTGTAGGGGCTTTTTTTAAAATTCAGTTTACATAATATAGAATCTTAATTGTAAAGTTAAAGAAGATCAGAAAACCAATTCAAATAAAATGGTTTTTTTTGTGTGTATAACTAGTTGATAGAGGTCACCTTGAGTCGACAATAAAAAAAAATAAACAAGTTTAAAAAATGTCTTTCCCATTATGACCCAGGGGGATCCCCCTCCCTCCCCCTCCCTGGCTGTGATACCAGACAGAGCCGGCTGGGTTGGGGTTACACCCTGAGCATAGCTGCAGGATTCCCACACTGACTTATGAATTGAAAACTGAAACCAGCAGAACCACATAATATGTGGAATGTTTAGTTCCATTACGTGTGGTAGTGGAATAAGGAGTGGCTATGGAAAACGCACTCAGAAAACAATGCTTATAATAGCCGTTCTTACTTTTTTCAAATTTTACCTGGTTTTGCTTTGAAATACTTCAAAAACAAAATAAATGTCTTTACAAGTATCAGGAAAACTAGCAATTCTTACAAAGTGATATGTTTGAAAGACTTTAAGCTATGAAATAACATTAACTTTAATATTTTAAACTCTCTTAGGGAAGTATATTGATAACTGAATGCTACTTGTTATATATTTTTTGTGCATCACCATGTCTACTTTTGAATAATGTTATTTGGACTAAAAATATTTAATATTACCCATGAAGACAATAATAAGCCAATTAAACCTAATGAGTGTATTTAATATATGGGTAATAACTCTAGGAAATCATAATAATGAATTTGGTTTCTTTAGAAAGGATGGAGGATGTGAACATAAAGTGCAAACATCAATAACAAGATCATGTATCTTATCTAGACTTCTCAACGCAACTGTCTCATAAGTAACACAGCTGTGCTTAGAGTACATTTCTCAAAGTTTGATCAGATTTCAATGTATCCAAATGACTGATAGAATTCTGATAAACAAACCTAAAAAAAGCATCAAGAAAAGTAACACAGCCATCTTTTATATAATGTAAGAATTCCTGAGTTCAACATGAAGCTAAACATTAGAAAAAAACAGGAAAAGGAAGAAAAATAAGAATTGCAAGAGGGGAGATGACTTTTAAATTAAGATGTGCACTTAAAATTAAAAGTTAAAATAAAATATGTCATTTGTATTTTATACACAGCTGAAGAGATAAGTAATTAAACTGGTCAACTATTTTATTAAAAATAAAAAATTAAATGCAATTTTTAAAAACTATTAGAATATATAAAAAGATTCTTTTTGTATTTACATAGGACTGATTCAACCCATAGGTTGATAAGAAATGAATTTTAAAATTTAGTTGATTACAAAACTTTTAATAAAGAAATGTTGTTACTAAAATCTCAAATTAATTATGTGGGGTTTTCTGGTAACCAATTAAAAAGCTTTTTTCCCTACTAATAATGAAACTGCAGATGACTTAGTGTACTCAACAATAAAACAGGAACTTATAATTTAAAAAAAGCTTTAATTTTAAGTTTCAAAACAAACTTTATCTAAGCCAGACTCGTTCCATCGCTAATCCAACACATAAACTCACCACATGCTTTTAAAAACTTCTAGTTCAGCAACTTCTTTAACAGCGTATGTAATATCTATTTCCCGTTTTGATCTTTCTTCCACTTCGTAAATAAAATTAAGTATAGTTTTTAGGTCCAGCTTGTTATCCTGTGAAAAAAAGACCAGCATTAAAAACCATTGTTAATCCTTCAAATTTGTTTGTATGATTTTTCTATTTTACATTTTTTTTAACTAACTAGATCCAGTAACTGCAAAAATAATTTTGTAACATTAATAACAAAACAGGTAGTGTAACTGAGAAGATATGCTTGCATAATTTAATGCAGAGTAACTCCATGTTTTTAATACAAGAGCCAAATCTGATTTCATGTAAGAAACGGTAGGGCTTGGTATATTATTACTTCAGTGAACAAGAAGACAGCTATTTTAATTTTATTAATTACAGCTGTCTTTATGGAGTATAGGGGCCTATATAAAAAATATTTTGAAGTTCATAAAAAAAGCCTACAGATTATCTCCTATAGATAAGTGCAAGCACACACAATGCTAGATTCAGCTCTGTCTAGGTAACTAAATACATCTTTCACCTACCCAAAAACACAACTATCCACTTGAGTTAAATACTATCACTAGCTCTTTGACCAATCATACATTAAATCAGTGCCATAGCCCACACAAGTAGTTGCCGAAGACAGCTTATACTTGTTTATGATTTGTGTCACTTGTTATATCTTTTATGTGCATCACCAAGTCTACTTTTGAATAACGTTATTTCAACTAAAAATTGTTTCAGACAAAAACAAAAACAGATTTCCTTTGAGTAGTTTTAGCTGTAAAATAGTACATTGATAGCTTTACGAGATTTCAAAAACACTTGCTTCAACATTTAGTCTTTTATTGTAACTGTAGAATTTTTTAGGTACAATTATGGATGTGTATAGTGTATGGACTAAGCTATAATGGAGATATGTATAAATTAAGAACAATGTAAATAATAGTAGTGGTAAGAATATTTTATTTAATAATTAATAAACTTATATTTAAAGATGTGAGTAGTACCACAGATGGAAATTGTTAATTTCTGATACAGTCAGAATTTGCTTGTTAGCTATAGAAGAAAGAAATACCTGATTTATATATTATATTTATATTATTAGTGTCCTTTTTTTTCCTTGTTTATATTTTATACAGTTGTGCCCCTTTTCTTGGAGTTTGGGTGGGGGTGAAACATGGTCTGCTATCTAAGAGGTTACAGTTGAGAACTTATAAATTGTTGCCAGACAATATTTAAAATCTACTTACCACAAGCTGAGAGCATCGAGTAAAAATTGCTTCTACCATATCTATCATTTCTAGCTCTCCCTTACTAAAAGCTGATATTTTTTCTTTCCTGCAGAGTAAAACAGTATCAAGTCAACAGCAGATTCTCCTGAAGGTAAGAGCTAAAAATATACTTTAATTGTTGAACTAAAATAAAACCAACTGAAACACTACGCTTAACCCTTGGGTAATGATAGTGCTAGGAAATTTGTTCGAACTGATGAGCTAATTAAAGACTTTCCCAGTTCCCTGCTTGACATTCTATAGAATGACAAGGCAGATAATTTTTGTCAAACTGAAGGGGGGGGGGGGGGGGGTTATGTCTTTAAAAGGACTAACAGTGTCTTTTCTGTTGTTTCTATTATTAGACAGTTAAGAGTTGACTGAAGTCCAGTTTTACAACATTGGTGGGTTGACATGGAGAATTCTATTCTTCAGGTTGGTCTCTGTATTGGACAAAGCCCATATTTAAATTCTGGATAAATTTGAAAGTAATTTTTTTATTGGAAAAGTGCATCCTTGAACAGTTACTTAAACCAGAGTATGAATAATTGTGTAGCCCAGTGGGTCAGCATCATGCAGTAAAGAAGTAAATGACATTTTCAACATTATTAATGTTGAAAGCTTGATTTCCTTCTTTAGCTGCATGCTGTTTAAGAAAATAGATTTTTTTTCTTCTAATTAATATGGAAAATTCATATTTACTTAAAATCGTTGCTTTAAGGATTAAAAGTGTTTAAGAAGATTAAATATAATTTTCAATGTGGTTCATTTAATTTTATTGATAGAAATTTAGTTTTATAAAAGTTTTTTTTACCAAAACAAATGAATTACTCACCTATGATCTTCTAGAATACCGTACTGATGAAGAATATCAATCCATACTTTAGGTAAATTGAGAGATACACCAAACAGAAATGGGCTTAATGACATCAAAATCATTTTTTTCTTTTGTTCCTCCATAAACTTTGGGGAATTTCGTTGCCACATTGAAATATAATCGGCTGAAGAATGTGATAAATATAATAAGTTAAAACAAAAGATAATGCTTGAGAAAAATTTACATTTCAAGGAGATTTGTGAATTTGATGAACATAATTCATTAACATACTCTTAAACAATCCTGATAACTAGTAGGTAAAAACATGGGGCTAAAATATAAAACACGTTGAAAAATATTTGAAGATGATGCATTACGAATTACTAAAAGAATTTCTGATAAGATGCTGAAAATTTTCAAAGATTTGTTGGTTACAGAACTATAAAAAGAGAATGATAAAAAAATTTGTTGTTGTTTTCTATAGTTTGTAGTTCATCTTATTGACTAACCTTGACAATCAGCCCAGAGATCATCATCTATTTCAGCAAAAATTGGTGGCACAACTTCAAAGTCAGCAAAATATGGAGTTGCCATGGTTCAACAGTATAGCCAGTAGAAAATCGTTTTCTTGACACCTATTTAAAGTGGAGATTTTTTTAAACATGCAGGCTATATATTTAAGTTTAAAACAAAAATAATAACTCAGAAAATTTAATTTTTAGAATGTCCTTTTTTATCACAAATGTGAGTGAATTGTATAATAAATATTCTGCTATTTTTTAAGAATAAGTCTGGAAATCCAACATTTTGCCAAACTAACAAACCAATTGCCCCAAAAAAAGCAAGTTTAGGAAGTTAACTGCGTTGAATAAAAACAAGACTGGTCTTAATAAAATTTTTAAATGCAAACCTACACAGAAATGGATGATCTTTTTATATCAAACATGTGTGACTTCACAGTTTTAAAATGTTTTATTTAAAAAATATCAGTTTTTCACTGGTTTCTTCTTTAGCAGAGTAAGCCTACAGCTGGCAAATCTTAAGCTAATTTACATCCTGATGTTTGAATATTATAACCAAAACAGAAGTCTACAAAGAGTTTATAAATTAGCCAGCCACTTTTTGAGAAAAACTGGAATGAAGAAATCTATTGTAAGTAAATAGTAAAGTTCCCCTTTCAAACCAGATGGTCTTTTAGCAAATGAAGTAGAGTCCACCTGTTTTTGTGACCTCAGCAAATGAAGGGATGGTGTGATCAGCACCTATGCCCAGCCGCTTTTATTGCTCTCCTTAACGTCAGTTAGGTATCCATAAGAGCTTTGTGGACTAAGGAATGTTCTTCTGACTAGAAACCTGATTTGAACTCATTTTTCTGGATTATCTAAAACTATCATTGAGATTTCTTGCCCACAAAAAGTAAATACGTAGGCTAACTAACTGGTTTTTTAGGCCTGAAATAGGCATACTTCAACTTCAGCTCCTAATAAATTAGTTTGGATCTGAGTCTGTATTTATTTGCTTATACTGAAAAAGATTACACTTTACAATGGCATGGTATTATTATAATAAAAAATAAATTTAGTAAAACAACCTAGAGAGAAATGATTACTTACTCCTCCTAACAGTTAACCACAGACTGTCACTGTCAGTTGGCAATCACACTTTTTTAAGCCTTATACCTAAAAATGTATCAGTAACACTAACTAACTACTAAACTTAGGTCTAGAATTTAACACAATTATTTGAGATCGTTCACTTTTATATAAAGAATGGTGCCATTGAGTTCGAGGTTTTGTTAGGTCTGCGGTTGTACGCTAACGCTAGGCAAGGCTTTTTTTAAAATAATTTTCTTTTCTAGATTTTTTATTGACCTAATTTTAAAAATGTTTAAAACTCATACATTGTTTTAATAAACAACTTTCTAAGTACGAAATATTGTTTCTAATTAAAATGATTAATCTACTTGTAAAAGCTGTATTTTTAAAAGCAAAATATTAACTGGTCGTTTAAAATCTAAAATGTGTTAATGTTGCCTGAAAACAAAGGTGTTGTTATTGTTTTATTAAAACCAAAGCGGAAGTTGGGAAGTCTCCACTCAAAAGCATCCACATTTTACATCAACTGTTAAAGTACGGTAATACATAAATTTATTGGAATCTCAAATTCGAGAATCTGCTGGGTCTCAGCGACATTTAAGCCTCCTAATTTAAATAGTTTTGCTGTGTAGCAGTTCTAGAATCTATATCTTATTCTCAAATACACAATACAAATGTAAAAGATACATTTTCATCATTCTTATTAGTTTTTAAAAAGAAATCAGTTGGGCTTGATATGAACAATAAAATAAATGTTGATTTTATTGAATTTAATACTTTAATACGGCGCTTTACACTAACGACATGTATTGTATAAGATACATGTCACGAAAACATTTGAAACAAGTAAGTAGATCTAGACATTTTCCATGGGGAAAAAATTGTCTTTATAACATTAACATTCTGCGAGGTTTTTTTTCTTCTAAACACGTATTCATGTCGCAAGTATAAACACGTTATTTCTACACATTTTAACTTATTTTAAGGCATTCATTTTTGAATTGCTTATTATTAGAATTGCATTTTAAAAAATCTATTTCTATGACTAAACGATAGGCCACAGATCAGAGTTTCTTCTCTTCGGGGGGGGGGGGGGGGGGGGGGGGGGGAGAGAGCTCCTAGATTTCTACATCTCTCAGGTCTGTGGATGAAATAAGCGCGTTGTTTATTTCCTCTATAAGTCAGAGGTAAAAACAAAGTAACTCTTATATAACACGTAGATGCCACAAAAGGTGCTTATTTCATTAATCGATTAAAATTCTTAATATTTGCTATAGGGCTGGTAAGTAGGTCACCAACCAGTTATATGGCTCATGCAGGTTTTATTGAGCCGTAGAACTCTGAACTGGTTGGTGACCTACTTACCAGCCCTATAGGGGGTCGTCCATACATGACGTCACACTCGTAGGGGAGGTGGAGTCCTTAATTTTGTGACGGTTTGTGATGAGGGGGAGGGGGGTGTTCAGATGGTGTGATGTCACATTTGTGCATTATAAAAAAGAAATGATAGAAAACAAATTTTAACCGTTATTTCGCGTTTTAGAAAACTGTTTTAATAAATTGTAATAGAAATTGATTAAAACACTCTATGGTGACAGAGTTCAGACAAGATTTGAGGAAAATATCGCTGTTTTAAGAAAAATTCAACTGCAATTTTCAGGGGGGTTGTAGCTGAAGTGCGTCGTCATTTTAGGGGGGGGGGGGGTCTGGCTTTTTGTGATGGGGGGGGGAGGAGAAAAGCTTGACGTCATTTATAGATGATCCCCATAATTAAAATCATTAATACTATTTTCTTTGACTAACTTTAGTCCTAACCCATAATCCCAAACTCTAATAAACTAACCCCTAACCTTAATCTCAATCATTTCTCCTAACCCCCAGTGTTTCTTCCAGACCTTTTTCTCCGGGGGGGGGGGGGGGGCACTTGAAATTTTCGGGGGGGGGGGGGGTATATATTATCTATATAAATTATATAAATTTCATTTCGTTGGGGGGCGGTAGAATTTTTTCGGGGGGGGGGGGGGGGGGCATTTAAATAGTCTTTTAAGTACAAATCGACCCCGAAGAGATGCCTGGAAAAAACTCTGCAAACCGCAAACCCCTAACTGAGATATAGTGTGTTAAAAAGTATATCATTAATGCCTTTTGCACTATAAACACACAAAAAATCCGTAGTTCTAATCGGTTCCGAATGCATACTGCTATTTTCTACAGCTTTTGACAAACAGCAAAGGCCATTCAGCTGTTTAGGCGGCTTTAAAGACAAGTGGCGCTTCTTAGAAGCATTGATTAAAACTGGTCCAAAGTACGTTCTAACAATAGATTAAACGAATTTGTAAATGTACTTTGGGGGTGAGGGTGGGGTGGGGTGGGGGGTCAGGGTGAAGGTCATGGCAGTTAAAAAGAAGAGGACTTTGACGTGCATTTCTGATATTTTTAATTTGGCATATTTTTTTAAAAACTTTGTATTGATATTACAACCCTAACTAAGCAATTATGGGAGGGGGAAATCCAGGTGGAGCAGAAAATGCAGAGAAGAAAGTCAAAATTGATAGGCTTTACGCAAACCGGCAACAAGTAGAATTATTAACAGGCAAGGTATATCATGAACAGAGTTTCTCCCATACTTCCATGCATCTCTTCGAAATGGAATTTATACAGAAAAAATATTTTTTTTAACAGTGCCTCCCCCCTGGAAATTTTAGTCCGTCACCCCCCCCCCCCCCACCCCACCCCCAAGCTGCTGACATCATGTTCCCGCGTTTTCTTGTTTATTATGGCTTAGTACCGAACAGTCTTCGATCAGTACTTCCAATATTGGCCGGGCATTTCTCAGCATTTCGAGAAGTGGCCGTCCAAAGCAGCACTGGCAATTTCAGGCACCAGAATTTCTTCCAGGCAAGTCTACCGCCCCCCCCCCCCCCCGGAACGAAATGGTATTTGTATAGAAAATATATACTTCTAACAGACCGAACTTCAAGCTTTAGTTGTAGAATATACATTTCAATATCAGTTATCGTGTAAAGAAAACAAACAACAGCACAGCGAGTAATTACACCAAGGTACCTTTATTTATACAATTTGTACCTTGAAAGTAAGAGAGCGATTATCGACACATAACCAAGAGCTTGAGTATGAGATATGCTGTACAACTTATTACAAAGATGATTATACAATACTGCGGAGAGTGGGTGGGGAAAGCAGCAACGGGCTCTAAGGTATATATATATATATATATATATATATATATATATATATATATATATATATATATATATATATATATATATATATATATATATATATATATATATGAATGTGTGTGTGTGTGTGTGTGTATTTATTTATTTATTTATACACACTTTATAGCCCATTGCTGTCTTCCACCCCCACCCCTTCTGGTATAGTATATAATACTATAGGAGTCCATTGAACGATGTAAACAAAGAACAGATCCCATGCGCTAATAGCTGTATGTAACAGCTGAGCTGTACGAACGACAGACGATGCGCTAATTAAAAACAATGCACTACACCACTGCACGTGGTAGTTGGACACGTGTGCACCTTCCTTGTGGGTAACGTGTTCATTTGTGTTTATCATTCCACTGCACGTGGTGTGTCATCATTGTCAGTGGTGTAGACAGAAGGGGGTTTTAAGAGGCGGGGCGGTGCAGGGGGTGCGGACCGGTTCACACCATTTAGGGGGTGACACCAAGGCAAAAAAAAAATTGCAAAATGTACAGAAGAAAATGCTTTTTGTCAGTTCCATTAATGATTAATTACATTTAAATAGTCTTTTAAGTACAAATCGACAATTATTACAAGAGGGTGGGGGTGACACCATGACGTAAACGAGCTAACTATAGAGAAAAAAAATTGCTACATCCTATTGTATTATTAAAGTACTATAGATAGACATCGTTACTATTAACTCTGCAGTGATTCGATATATAAACCAGTATACGTTCTTAAAAATCATCCCGGAATATATTCATAGAGGTCTATTTGTATCGACGCCTTTATGAAATTAATATAGTAGGTCTGATAAGTTTTCTTGTTGTATTTTCTTTTTTACTGTAAATACATTATTTCTCTGCGTCAGTTTCGTTTGTACCAAATACGTTGCACGAATTTAAAACAAATCAAATTGCTGCTGTAGACTTGTTTAATTAATTTTTTTTTAAATGAGGATATCACGTAAGTAGCCTATGTCATTTTTTTTAATATTTTATATTTTTAAAATATCTACTAATTTTTTAAAAGAGGTTTCTACTACCATATATAAAACAAATACCTAGACCAGGGTTCGCCAACCTTTTGAGATAAAAGAGCCAAAAGTTGCAATGTACAACATTACCTGGTTTTTTAAGAGCCACTGAAATGTGTATGTCAATAGTAAATTTGTTTAGGATATTATATATATATATATATATATATATATATATATATATATATATATATATATATATATATATATATATATATATATATATATATATATATATATATATAATCCTAAACAAATATCATACTATATATATAAATTAACAGAAATAGCTTTGAATATATGAAATTATCTCATTTGAATTTGTGTTGTGAGGATTTACTATGTAAGTCAAAGTACTTGCATTTGTTTTGAATTGCTCAAATTTCTCAGTGAAAACATCCTTCATTTTGTTTATTATTAATGCTGAAGTGATTGAATAGTAGCATTGTTTTCATAACGATATTTTTTTCAGATTTTTCGTAATTAAGCAATAAAAAGCTCACCATGTATTCAACAAAAATGTTTTTTTTTTCGAAACAATCCACTTCTTCAAGCAAGACATAGGTTGAGTTTTCCTTTCAGTTTTACACTTAGCTCGTTTAGATTCTTTGTGATATCCACTATGAAGTTGAATGTTTCAATTCGGAATGGACAATGTAATAGGAAGTACATTGAGATAGGGAGTAACTAAATATTCTAATAGAGTAGTGAATGTTTATTGTTTATATCTATTGTTATATCGTTTATTACCGAGTGTTGTAGACTAATATTTTTATGAGTTTTGAAAATAAAATAAAATAATTATTATTTGTACATGGAGCTGAAGAGCCGCAACTGGACACCAAAAGAGCCGCATGCGGCTCGCGAGCCGCAGGTTGCCGACCCCTGACCTAGACCAATACAGAGTTTCTTTCTGTACTCTATTTTCTTCCAGTTACCATGAATACTATTTGAAATACACTATCGGTATTTAGTATAGATTATTATAATCTACTTACCACTTTGATCGTCTGTATACAAAAACTACACACTTAAAAACGTGTAGATCTTATCGTTTAGACGTCCAAACGACATAAGCCGTGCGATTTGTGTTTCCTTGTTTGTAATCCTTTCTTTCTTTTTGTATTTAATTGGCCTTTTTGTTTTAAAAAAAGAATGGATCTATAAATAACGCATCAGACGAGGACTCCCCACAGCTTTTGAGCCACGTCATAGAAGGAATGGAAATTTCCAATAAATCTGCGGATTCTCTTCTCGGCTTTGGCGTCAAGCGGAGGGATGGAGTTGTCACTGATTTGTGAGTGTTACCGTACTTATTATAAAAATTACGCTCAGCCCTTGGCGTTACAGGACGAGATTTCGATAAAAAAGTACTGTGGTGATCCAATAATAATAATTGCTTAACAACATGGACGACGCTCTAACAATGTAGGGGTCGACCTTAAGGGATGTAGGTAATACTCATAGTGGGAGAACAGGGGGGGGGTCGAAGTTTTGTGGCGACGGTGTTTGTTTGTGTTGGGGGTTGGGGGTTTAGAAAGTGTGACGACAAATTGTCCAGATAAGCCCCGCTACTAATGAAAAAAAATACACGGTTGAAAAGTTAAGCCCCGCCACTTTTTGCCAATTCTAATTTAATGCACGCACGCAACCTTGACCTATATCTGAGGTCTTGACATTTGATTATTTAAACGCACGTCATAAATATAACTTCTTATCCGCCCCTAGGATTTAGGTTAGGACTAGGGTTGGGTTAGGGTTAAAAACTAAAAGTACAAGTTGCATATCATCTTTTATTTAAATCTTTATTTTTTGTAGGTGGTGGGGGTTAACGTTTTGGTTGCGCTTATCTGGACAAGATCCTTTTTTTTATAAAGTAATGTTGAAAAAATGAATTTTAGCCGTCATTTCGCGTTTTTAAAAAAAACAGTTTTCGTAAATTTTGATAGATATTGATTAATATACGCAATGTTGACTGAGTTCAGTATATATTTTCATAAAGAAATCTGTGTGGAAAAAAAAAAACCTTTTCTTTTTGGGGAGGGGGGGGGGGGTTGTTTTTTAAGTAGTCGTTGCCTACACAGTAGTGATAAAAAAAAAGCATACGGCCACATAAGCTCAATCTGGCATACGTTGTCTTATAGACACATCCTAATGAGAAGTTTGTTATCTATCTACACAAGGGTGTACCTACCATACTGATACTTTCTATACTGATACTCTTTTTTAAAAACTCCAGCTGAAAATACCAATAAACAAAAAAACTTAATACGATAAAATTAATAAAAAGTTTATTAGCGAACATCTAAAAAAAAAAAGACTCATGAGCATTTATTACAAAATAAACTTTCTGAACATTTAAGAGTCTGTGGTGTATTCGAGTATGTTCCGAGACTTATATTGTCAGTCATAATGAAAAGTGTTTCGTTTATTCTGTGGCATTAATCCTATGACATTTATTGTATGACATTTATACTATGACATTTATTATATGACATTTATCATATGAGATTTAGACTATGACTTTTATACTATGACATTTATCATATATGTATACCATGACATTTATAATGTAACAAATATTCTATGACATTCAATGTAATACATTTATCCAATGACAGTTATTCTATGCCATTTATTATGTGAAAATGTTTACTCTTATTACATTTATACTATAACATTCATTGATTATGTCGTGCATTCGGTCTTGAAAAATGTAATACAATGAAATATTTTTTTCAGCACAGTATTCTATTGTATACATTCTACCTTCAAATGTAATGAACCTTTTCAATAGAAACTAGTTTCCTGGGCACCCACTTGGTAAAATTATGACGATTCTAATCCATGCTATGACGTATGACTAACTCTGTTACATTTTCAACTAACGATATTTTCCCAGACGTGGGACACAACTTGACTGCAAAAGATTCGACAGTTTCCGCCTCGTGTCGGCGTCCAGCTTCCAGTCTCGCAGAACGACGATATTATCGTCTGCGACTTCCCCCAGCAGATCGCTGGGCAGTCGATGCCTCAGCTCCTCCAGCACAAGAACGATAACTCGTTCAGGGTTAGCTGGCGTCTGCGAGTACATCGCGGACCGGATAGTAAACAAAGACCACTCGTCGTCTTGTATAAAGCTTTGACTGAACACTAAAACAACTCGCCAGCTCGCGTTAATGGCGTCTACTATAGCGCTGGCTACCGTTGCTGACGGAAGTAGGTCACGGTGGCTTATGTAGGTACTCAAACCGAGAGAGTCCTCGATGTAATCTTTCAACTCCGTACACGGGAATTGATACTCGCAATCCGCGTAGCCTAAAAACACTCCGGTTTTGTAATCGCTGGCTGATTTGATTTCAAAACCAGCAAGTAGCTGTAACGCCAGCGACCGGATGGAATTCTTGTTTCTGGTGATGAGGAAGACGCAGCTGAAACCGATGACGATGATACACAAGATAATGAGCGACAAGGAAAAGAAGAACTGAGACCAGCACATCCGCCATAGAATATCCATGCTGTAGTAGTCTGCCGTGTAGGTCAGGGTGCCGTCTTTACTCATGCAGGTGTAGTTCCCTCCATTGTCTAACACGACCCATGTACGTCTCAGCCATTGTAAAAACGGGAGATTCTGACAGCTGCAGGAGAGTATATTGCCAGATAAATACAGATAAAACGAGCCGAATTTGTTAGCCAAATTGTCAAGCTCATCCCTGTACCGGCTGTCGATTGTCGCTATAGAATTGAATCGCAAATCTAATTTCTGCAACAGCGGCGTGTTTTTAATTTCGAAAGGAAAATGCT